AATTTTAAGCATTGATTGAATGAGATTTTAAATTTTGTTTAACGTTGTTTTTATTTTTATTTTTTTAAAGATTGTCATTTAAAAATGAAAACTAATTTGTATTCGAATCAGTACTTGAAAAGCACTTTTAATTTAAAAAATAAAAAATTTCAGCGAGGGAATAATTACAGAAGAAGGATATTCTTATTATCAAAATTTTCTATTACTAACTTACTATCTATCTATCTAATCACCGTTGAATTAAAGAGAAAGAATGCTAAATAGTTTTTAAAAAAAGAGAAAATGTTGATCCAATGATAATTAAATAAATAATAAATTAGTAGTAGAAGATTTTGATAGTAAAAATATTCTCTGATAATTACAAGCCATCTTTTCCTAAACATCAAGTCAAATTTCAGCGAGTTCTACAAGTTGCTATACATCAAATCAAATTAAAGATGCAATTTTTTTTTTCATATACTTGTAGCGAGTTCTGCACATGCAGTTTTTTTTTTTTTTTTTTAACGTTGAGAGTTGAGACTATAGTTGCTGCACCCTATAACGAGTTTACCTTTAAAATTAGAAAGATCAATTTGACCACTTAACTGGTTACAACCAGTAGTCAGTATTATGGTCTGTTTTAAGGTGTCACATTGTATTGTAGCGAGTTGTGCAGTTTTTTAGAAAAAGGAATATTCTATCTATTAAAATTTTTCATTATCAATTTATTATCTATCTAATTATCATTAGATTAACATTTTCTCTCTCTTCAATTTTTTTTTAACATTCTCTATCTTTGATCCAACAGTAATATGATGGGTAGTAAGTTAGTAATGAGAATTTTTAGTAATTAAAATATCCTCACTTAAATTTCTAACCCCCAGGCATTTTTTATTCAAGAAGTTGGCACAGTAGTTTCAGTGTCCCGTATTCAGATAAGTAGTTGAAAAAAACATAACAGTATGGTCATTGCATCCCATATATAATAACGGAAAAAATTATATTTATAAATTTTTTATTTATAAATTTTTACAAATTATATTATATTTTATGGATAAAGTACTTTTAAAATTTTATCGATAAAATATAGTGTAGTTTGTAAAAAAAAAGTTTATTAATATAACCCTTTTTTATTATGTATATTATTTTTTAAGGAATAATTATATTTATAAACTCTTACAAATAATAGTTATAACTATATATTTTGGAGAGTACATAATTATAATACTAAAGTTATTTTTTTCTCTCCCCTAGTTAGCCGACAAGTTTCTAAAGCGAGAAAAAAAAACTTAAAAAATTATACTATATACTTTTCAAAATACATAGTTATAATTATAATTTAAAATTTATATACTTTTAAATTTGTAAATATAATATTTCCTTATTTTTTATAGGAAGAAGTTCAAAAACTATCGTATATTTTATCGAGATATTTATCTCATCCCACGTTTCAGGGACCCCGATTTCATATACAAGTATTGAAGATACGAGAGTGTCTATAGGCAGAAGTGTCGTGCTCTATAGCATGATGCTGTTACTGAACCAAACATAAAATCAAGGAACTTGAGTTAATATTCTTGATAATATTTGATTTATCAAATAATTTTTTTTGATAACATCCCAGAAAATTCGATTTCTCTTAGAATAATGATTCGCAAGCACAATTTTTTTTCCTCTAACAAACAAACGTCTTTATATCACACATGGAATATCTTGGCAAAAGCACCATATTGCTAATACTAAGCAAAAATATCTCCTATTCAAAGCACACGTGGAATGTTTTACCAAAGTAGCACAATTAGTCCCGTCACTTTACTTGACACATTCAGTCCCGTCAGTATTGTTGACGAGACTTGTTTCCACGTCAGCAACTACGTGTCAAATGTTCGTTGAGTCTTGTCACAATAGTTGACGTCATCCATTCTTGTCAACATAGTTGACAGGACCAAAGGAAAAATACTTTCATAATTCCTTATTTCATTAGTATACTAAGTAATTCAGTTTACTATACTAATTCCTTATTTCATCGCGTCACATCTAATCATTTCTATACTAATTCCTTATTTCATAATTCAGTTTACCAAAAAAAAAAAAACACTTCTCATAAATTATATTTATTATTTACCCTAAACACTAATTACAATTACTAAGTAATTATTTCATTAGTAATTAATTTTTTTAGTAAATCATTTTCTATACGATTGAATGTGTCAAGTAAAGTAACGGGACTGATTGCTCTACGTTAACAAAACGTTTCAGATGTGCTTTGAACCGGAGATATTTTTGCTTAATATTAGCAATTCGGTGCTTTTACCAAATATCTCTTTCATGTTGTAAGGGAGTTGTGGCCAGCTGTGCATTATTTATTGGATTTTCATTAACTTTTCATTTTACTATTTATTTTGTTGTTCTTATCATTTTGGATGCAAAATATTTTCTGAAAAAGTATCATGACTACCGACTGATTCCCACAGTTTCGTTAGGATTTGGCAAGATCATAAAGTCAAGAGTTTGCCTGTATACTCTGAGGGATCATATCTCAGCTATAGATATGAGAGGTGATTAAAAAATTTCTTGGCTAGACTTGGCGAGGCACGCCCATCAATCGGCTTGGAGTTCTTTGTATAATGTGATTTGCGGGGTAGCAAAATTTATGGTTAGTTACTCGAAAATTTTGACTAAATGTGGAATTAAAATGGATGTTATGCAAGATGATATAAAAAAGTTGTTCCATTAATGGCTTTTTATTATATTTGTTTTTGTTGCATTTACTTATATATAATTGATAATATTTACTTTCTACTCTTTATTTTATGTTGTAGATGGATCATGTTAGTATTGAATATCCACACAGATGCAAGAGACAACCATACTTGTGTATCTACAAAAAAACTTTTCTTTTTTATTCTTGCTTTCTTGCTCTTTTTCTCTTGATCTACATTTCATACAAACTATCGAAGGCTATTTATAAGCTATAAAACTGACCAACATAACTCCACACATAACACCCTCATTACTTTATAACTGACATAACTGACTCATTAATATTCTAACTGACATAACTGACTCATTAATGTCCACTAACACAAACCTAAGGACATGACTCTTCACCAGAAAACTCTTCACATTTCTATTTTCTATTTTCTATTTTTATCTCATTAAAATTTAACCCAACAAAACTCCCCCTTAAATTTTAATTCTTCTTTTTGAATTTTCCACAGGTTGATTTTTTTCCGCGCTGCTTCCATGTTGCACTCATTTCTTCAATTTTTTTTTTGTCCGGCGGTTCCTTCATTGGTGGAAGATAGACAATCTTGAATTTTTCTTCGTCGACCTCATCCTCCGATATACTTCCACATCCATTCTTACATGTATGATCATCACACAAGTCATCATACTGATCAGTATCTGTATCACTATAACGTCCCATTAGTTTTACAACACCTATGCCAATTTTAATACTTTCAGATTCAACATGTGCTACATTAATAGCACGTTGGGCCTCATCAACCACAGTAACCCCATCACTCATTGAGGACCGTTGATTCCTATCATCAAGCAAATAACTCAACGCATCATTTTCTGATTCCGCCCCACGATCTTCTTCTGGTTTACGCTTTAGCCAAAATGATTCCGCCATAAAAGTAACTCTAGGCTCCTCATCGCCGGGTTCCCTATCCACAATCACACCTTCCATTTTTCCGCTCTCAGTTTCTTCATCGCCGGGTTCTTCTTCAATAAGTCCAGCTTCCACGCGCCTCATCAATGGAATTTCAGACCACCGTCCTCCAGGGAAATGGTCTCTTTTCGGTGGTGTCGACATCTTCCACTTCCACCATAAATTCAATGCAGTCTCCGACTTCTGACTTCCAACCCGAATCGCGCCTATGCCGGTCTCCGACATCAACCTCATCATACCGGGGTCGAGCTCTTCTCCAAAACATGAACTCAGTGAATTAGCCGGGATCTCCCACATCCCGGTTATCAACACGGAACTCGGATTCACGGTCTCCTCCATGCCGGTCTCCATCAAGCACCTCGGCTTCTCAATCTCCTTTCCGATTTTCAATTCTGTCTCCAGACACTCAGGTTCCGCGAAGTCTTCTACCTCGACAATGGACTCGGCGTTCCCGTCCTTCTCCGCTTCGATCTCGGCTCCTTCGTTCTCCTCCTCTTCTATCTCGGCTCCCTTGTTCTCAGTCATCTCCATCGTCTTCTTCTCCGAGTCATCTCTTACGCGCTCCGACACGTCAATCTCCTCCGCGGATGCGTTGCCGTTGGCAACCTCGGATTCCGCCATCTCGGTCTCTTCTTCATCCGCATCATTCTCCTCATCTTCATCATCATCATTGAAGATTTCATCTTCTTCATTAATCAGATCAAAACGTCCAGGCAAGTATTTTGTTATGAAGGCCATTAGAAAATCCTTCCACATATTATTAAAGTCGCGGCAATTCCATGTATGGAACCATTTGATTGCGCTTCCTCTGAGTCTTCTCATGGCTACCTGCCATTTGTCCTCCGTCCAGGTTTTTTCTTTCCAAAAATGTTCCTTCAAATAGAGAAGCCAATCCAATGCTTCATCCTTATCTCCATGGAAGAGTGGCACCTCCAACTTGCTCTTTTTCTCCATAGCTCTGATACCGATTTGTTAGAATTGAATATCCACACAGATGCAAGAGACAACCATACTTGTGTATCTACAAAAAAACTTTTCTTTTCTATTCTTGCTTTCTTGCTCTTTTTCTTTTTCTCTTGATCTACATTTCATACAAACTATCGAAGCCTATTTATAAGCTATAAAACTGACCAACATAACTCCACACATAACACCCTCATTACTTTATAACTGACATAACTGACTCATTAATATTCTAACTGACATAACTAACTCATTAATGTCCACTAACACAAACATAAGGACATGACTCTTCACCAGAAAACTCTTCACATTTCTATTTTCTATTTTCTATTTTTATCTCATTAAAATTTAAAATTTAACCCAACAGATCAGACGCGTAATGATGTTGCAAAACAGATTGAAGAAAAGCTGGCCAAGGCAGAACCTCTACATAACAACTGAATGTTGTATCTACAGGGTTCCCTATGAAATCCGCCAGTTCAACGATGATGCATACACCCCAAAAGTTATTTCAATCGGCCCTTATCACTATGGCCATGAAAGACTGCAAAACATGGAAAGCCACAAATTGATATATTGCAAAAGATTCATAGAACGAACTAAGACAAGCTTAGAGAGTTTGGTGAGCTGCGTGCAAGAGTCAGAACCAGATGTTCGTCGTTGTTACTCTGAAAGCATTAAGCTTAGTGTGGAGGAATTTGTCGAACTGATATTGGTGGATTGTTGCTTCATATTTGAATTGTTCTTAACGCACGATTCGAAGGTTGGTAATGCTATCCCATTCGAAGGTTGGTTGGAAAGTTGTATTGCATATGATTTGCTTCTACTCGAGAATCAACTTCCTTTCTTTATTCTTGTTAAGTTATACACTCTAGCTTTACCCTCGTCCTTGAATAATAATATTGATCAGTACCCTCCTTCTCTTGAAAATCTCATTTTTAAATATTTTAAGAAGTGCAACTTACAACTTCGGGACACTACTGCTAGCATGAAACACTTCACAGATATGCTCAGAATCTCTCACTTACCACCACCTGATGCACGTCCTGCAAGGACGGGTCAATTACCGAGGCAGATTTATAGTGCAACCGAGTTAGTTGAAGCAGGAGTGAAGTTTAGGGTGAAGAAAGAAGGCCACTTGTTAGACTTCAAATTTTCAGGACATCATCTTGAAATACCAAAATTGTATTTGGGGGATGATACTGAAATTTTGTTTCGAAATATGATGGCTTTGGAGCAATTTCACTATCTTCATGAATCCTACTTCACTGACTATGTTGTAGTCCTTGATTACCTTATCAACACAAGCAAGGATGTGGATGTCCTTGTTCAAAATGAAATAATCAAAAACATGTTAGGCAATAACGAGGCCGTGGCTGAACTGTTCAATGGTCTTTACAAAAATATTGTACAGACGAGGTTTAATTCTGATTACAGTTATATTTCCAGTCAGTTGGAAAAATATTGTAATCATCCTTGGAATGAAGCAATGGCAACTTTGAGACGTGATTATTGGAGGACTCCATGGCAAATAGTTGCTTCCATTGCTGGAATTTTATTGCTTATTCTTACGGTTATTCAAACAGTATGTTCTGTCCTCCAAGTGTTGCACCCTTAATGCTTGTTTAGTTTAGGCATGATTATTGTTCCGGATGACCTAACTACTACGCGGCCCAATGGCTCAGGCTCAACTTCAGGCTCCAACCCACATCAGCCCTAAGGGCTGACGTGGACCCTCTCATCCCCCAATGTTGCGACGCGTCCAAGGCGAAGCACCAAAATGTCCCATCTTGGGATCTTAACCCCCAAAGGTGACCTTCACAGGCACCTGAAAGGGAAACTGCCCCTTTGCCCAACGCTGACATCGCCAGGCACAGAAGGCGCAACGCTGCTACAACAGCAGCGCCTGCCACGCCAAACACTGCCACCACGGGAGTGAATCTCAAGGAGGGTTGACCTCTTCCTCATCAACCCACACCATTTTCCCTATAAATAGCCCCCTTGGGCACACCATGAAGGTATCTTATGTATCGTTATTCTGCCCATTTACTTTGAATCATATTATCTCTTACCTATCCATTGTTGATTGCTTGCTTGTACTTGGCACAATACTTCTTAGCCTGGTCTATACCCGCGCTAAGGGTATTATCCATACAGTGACTCATTCCTGAAGAGAACATAGTGGGCTTATAGATCCTAACGGTACAATTATCATGAATTTATTTTTCCTGATGCTGTTGGAAATTGTACTCCTTTCTCGTAAGGGTTATCAAAACATTATGTTTTATATGAAAAGTAGGTTGTTACTTGTTAGTTTATTTTTTATATATATGTTGGTTGAACAATCCTGATGCCAAAATCGTAATGCAAGTAATATGCAAATATTACTCTAATATACCTAAATTTTATATCAGCACCGATACTGTAAAAGTGCCATGACATGCTAAATTTATATTGATTTTAATTAAAAAAAAATAGAGACACTTGTATCTGTTCATTAAAGCAAGATCACAGGTTTGACAAATCTGTAATCCAAAAATAAGGCTAACAATATTTCAGCCAGTTGAATCAAAAACATAATTTGGGAAAAAATGTGTGTCATTTTGATAGAGTTAACTATCTAGAAAGGTAATACAGAGAGGAAATATACGTAATATGATATCATCAACGGCAATTCAAGGATGCCGGCAACTCCAGAAGGTTTTTGCAGGGAAGAAAGAGAAGTTTGTTACAAGATATTTTGCATAAACCCTTAAGTGGTCCCCCTATCAACCTATATAGCAACAGAAAGCAAAATTATAAAATCACATTACTGATGGGCCTATGTATAACACAACCCATTATTTCTACTACTTCTTGCTGATCAGCCCACCATGAGCCCTTCTCACTCACAGCCCATTACCCACTTCCATCTACCAACATCAGAGTTCCTCAACTGGCCACGTGGCCACATCACTCACCCACCATCTAGACACCTGTCAGCATCACAAAGTCCCTGAGCCATTGAGGTGTCCGCTTCTCTCTCCTCTTTAACCCACGTTGTTCTTCTCTGCTCGGTTCTACTCTATGTCCTTCATCTTCTATTTTATCTTCCATAGCCACTGAGTTCGAGGGATCAGTGTGACCCCTTGGAGGACCTGTCTGACCATGCGGAAGGTTCATATCACATTTTAAATTACACAAGTTGTGTTATTTTCTAGACACAAAGATGTGAGACTTATATTTTTTTATCTTTATTTTTTTTCAATAGGACTCACATCTCTTTATGTCTGAAATAATACAACTTTTAAAATCTAATCAAAATTAATAAAGCTGCATTTCAGTCTCAAGTATATCAAACTAACGATTCTATAGATGCTCATAATAATTCTGTAACAAAATCCAGATGATAACTAAATAAAAAGTTCAAGTTAATTATTCCACCGGATGTGGTAATCTTCTACTTGAGTAACAAACATTTCTTACTCAGGTAAGAGGATTCTTTTTAAGCAACCAACAAACTTCGGTAGTGAATTAGTTCACTTATGAACGTTCAACCAAAAAGAACAAACTCAAAACCAACAAGGCTTATATCACAAATGAAACCAATCAGAACCTGCAAATGAACAGGGTTGCTGCTAAGAACTTCCCTAAAGAAAATTTTATTTATCAAAACAAAAAAAATTGCTATTCCACCAATTGATTATTTTCAAGATTGATGGGAAATTTATTTCCCAAAATAATGTTCTAATTAGGTTAAGGCAGCACCCATATTTAAAATTGCATGTTACCGTAAAATTTTGGAATACTGTAACTTTTGATTCTCGGGAATCCAAATCAGATAATATTTTTTTTATTTCATTTAAGTTTTTGAGATTCACATAATGACTCTTTATTTGACATATTTTATCTCTCACAAATTTAGTTCAAATTTATAACAATGGTATCATAATCACAAGAGTTTTTAAATCCAGAAGCATATGTTAGGATAATAACATATGATGTTTGCCAAATTTTGGCGGGAAGAGGTAGAAACTCTTGATTTGTTTAGTTTCCTTGATTTCCAAACCACTTTTATTGAGATTTTAATTAATTAAATTTTTATATGTTAGAGTTGTAGTAACATGTGCGATACAATAGTTAATTTCATTTTTGTGAAAAAAAAAAACAAAGAAAAAGTGAGAGAAAAAATGGAGAACCCTAGCGTACGAAAAGAAGGAACATAATAGAGATAGACGATAGCTTCAAAGGCATCAAGTATGGCCAGTATGTTATTGGTTATGCCTTCTATGTGAGTTCTCCATTTTTGCTCTCACTTTTTCTTTGCAGTTTTTTTCTTGTGATTGTGGTACTATTGTTGCAAAATTAAACTATGTTTGTGAGAGATAAAATATGACAAATGAGGTCGCGTAAATCTTCACAAATTATGTGAAATCAAAAAAAAAAAATCTAATTTGAATTTCCAAGTCAAAAATTATAATTTTCTGAATTTTTACGATAACAAAACTGTCTAGGATAACGATATTATGACATTTGGCATACCCATGTGAATTCGGGGAGGGAAGAGTCGCAGCACTCACCTGAAAAAAATAATGAATGCCCTAGGGGATAGCGGCACTCGGTACCACTGACCCCTCGGCACTAAACAACTTCCGCTGATAAATATCGGAAATGATATCAAATTGTTACGTTAAAATTTCAAAGACCCCGCTTTCGTCAGAGTGCCAAAAAATTCATGAGCTGACATGCTTTCTAGATTACATGCATCATGCGCAAGGAGTTTCAAGGGTTCAACGGTAAGGAATTTGAACCAAAATAGAGAAAAGTTCAAAATTCGTAAGGCTAGCACAAGACCAACATGGTACAACATAGTGATCCAAAGCAGTGTAGTAGCAATACAGTTACACAACCACTAATATTATACTACACACAAGTTAAGCAATTCAAAACAGTCCAAAGATACACCAATATACAAGTATCATTCTCTTTCGAAATCTACCACACAACAAAGATTTTATATTACAACTTACAAGTTACAAGTATATCATCACAGCATTAAACAAAAAAAAAAAAATACAAGTCAAGTTTCAGCTATAAAAAATCAAATATCCCAACCAACGACCAGAACTAGCCTCAACATGGGAGTCTGACTTTCCACTTTGATTCTGCCAATGTCATACAAGGCAGTGAGTTGTTCAGACTCACAACCTCGTAATCAGTTATGTGTATACATTCTAGATCCTCTAGACACTTCACTTATATCTTTATCAAATTTGATCAACTTTTGCTCCAAATATTAAAATCCAAGGTCGCCCAATTTGAAAAGATAGAATACAGACTGTCCTCAAATGTCAACCAATGCAATGTGCAAGAATCTGATTAGTTCATATATACAACAAGGTCTTTCAGCCACAGAGGTAAGGCTTCAAATATTTTTATTTTGACATAAGATTGGCATGCTTAACGATGTGTGAAATTTTTTTATTTTGAAGATTAATATCGAATAATAATATAGTTGTCGATCAAGTTTACTAATATTAATAAGTATGGTGGCCTAAAATTGAATAGTCTTAAATACAGGAAAAAGTAATATTTCCTGAAAATCGAGAACAAGTCTTAGCTTTGGAACGTCTTAGTATATTGAGCATTCTGTGGTGGAAGGTATTTTCCAACTGCAAGTTGTAGGACAAATGCCCTTGAACTCGAACTTATCTCATTCATGTTTAAAGGATTTAACATGAGTTGAGGCTCATTTGGAAGGGCCCAAAAGATCTCCCCAGCCTCCAGAAACTCAAAAGGTTAGTGCTTGTGGGATGCAAAAACTTGTAAATCATCTTCTCCCCACTATTGTTGGCAGCCTAGCATAGTTGAGTGAACTGGTTACGAGGAAGTGTGGAAAGTTGGAGCAGATCATTTATTCAGATTACAGTGTCGGTGCGCTCTGGTTGGTTCTCAGATTACAGTGTCCCAACGTGTCCTAACCAATGATGCACGGACGAGACACGACACGACACAGCGACACGTTAATTCTAAAAAATGACATATTTCGACATGTTGGGACACGTTTTGATATTAAATAATATTTTTAATATATATAATATAATTTATATTTAATAGATATAACAGTCAATAATAAGTCATATAACCAATCAAATATTTAAATTTCATAACATAAATATAAACAAAAATAATTTTCCGTATCTTGTTATTTTTCACGTCAAATTTTATAACAGAAAAAAATTGATTTATAAATAATTTTTTTTAATTTTTAGTTAATAAAATTATTATCCGGAATCATAATCAAAATCAAAGACATGTTGAGCTGTTTTATCTTCTTCTTTTTTCATTCTCTCTCTTTCTCACTCGCTCCTTCTTATTACGCTTGAGACCCTCTTATTGTTGCAAGCTGTAATTGGATGGGAGCAATTTTGGACTCAACTTATTAAGAGTGCTCTCTCTCTCTGAAGAAGAGTGTTCACGTATGAGCTTTCTCCTAATGTCACCCATGGTTTTGAGACGCCTCGCTCTGTTTTCTCCTCCACGCGTCTCTCTCTCTCTCTTGTTCCCATTTCGAGTTTTCATTTCCTCTTCTGACAATGAGATCAAAGTTATAGCCTTTTTTTCCCTTCTTCTTCTTTCTCATTGTTATTATCATTTTTTTGTGGGGTTAAAAAAAATAGAAAAGAAAATACAGAAAAGAAAGGGAGATATTGTTGGAAAAACGCAAACAGGTGTTGCTATTTTTGTGTTTCCTGAGTTGGGTTTGTGAGATCAGACCCCAAAAATGGAACCTTTATTCAATTGGTGGGGAAATAGAGTCACAGAGGAACCCCTGTGGTTGTGAAGATGGAGAACCCAAACTGGTCCATGGTTGAGCTTGAGGGTCTCACTGAGGAAGAAGATTTCATCATTGCAGACTCATCTTCAGGTCTTCCCAGAGACAAAGGAAGAGGAAAAAACGCAAAGCAACTAACTTGGGTTCTTCTCCTCAAAGCTCACAGAGCCGCAGGTTGTTTGGCTTCCGTTGCCCCTGCATTTTTGGGGCTAGTCTCGGTTGAGATTTATAGTCCCACATTGGTTGTATGTGCAACTAATGTGAAGTTTTATACGGTCTTGGGCACTCCCACCCTTTGAGCTAGCTTTTGGGGTGGTGTATCCCAAGGTTCTTTACATGGTATCAGAGCCTCGCCGCCCCCCACTTTCTCTTGTGGCGTTTCTTAGCACAGGTAGGCTGGGCCTGTTGCATTGTCCACTCTTCAAGCCCAATGGGCTCTCGTGTGAGGGGGCGTGTTGAGATTTATAGTCCCACATTGGTTGTATTGATTTTTATCCACCTTTGCCCATTATTGAACCAGAACCTACCTTCCATATTCCTGAATCCGGGTGCCAAATCCCAACTTACCTGCCCACCATTAACAAGCTGAACCCGAAGCACCACCCGCACAGCAGCTCCGTAAATCTAACAGAATAACCAGACCTCCAAGTAAATTCAAAGATTTTGTATGTACCACCACTACTTATCCCATCCAAGATCATGTCTGCTATAAAAATGTTTCATTGAACCATAGAGCATTCCTTGCTGCAATTGATGAGATTTCTGAACCAAGCACCTATGAAGATGCTAGAAAAATTCCTGAATGGAAGAACGCAATGAGCGAAGAAATAGCTGCCCTTGAAAAGAACCAGACTTGGGAAATTGTCACCTTGCCTAAAGGCAAACACACTGTTGGCTGCAAGTGGATCTATAAGATTAAATATAAAAGTGATGGCAGTATTGAAAGACATAAAGCTCGCCTAGTAGCAAAAGGATACACACAAACTCATGGAGTTGACTACAATGAAACATTTGCTCCGGTAGCTAAAATGAATACTGTGAGAGTCTTAATGTCTGTAGCTACAAACCTCAACTGGCCTTTGTTCCAGATGGATGTCAAAAATGCTTTTTTGCATGGTGAACTTGAAGAAGAAGTGTACATGGATCTTCCACCCAGTCAGTCAATGCTTATTCACTCTGAAAAAGTATGTAAGCTTAGAAAGGAAATTTATGGCTTAAAACAGTCACCTCGAGCATGGTATAAAAAACTAAGTACAGCACTAATGGCATTCGGATTTAGCAAAAGTAATTCTGATTATTCTCTATTTATCAAACACCACTCGGGTTTCACCACAGCTGCATTAATCTACGTTGATGACATTCTCATCTCAGGAAGTGATCTTAAGGAGATAGAGAAGCTGAAGGCATTTCTTAGCAGGGAATTCGATATCAAAGACTTAGGGCCTTTAAAGTACTTCTTAGGCATTGAAGTGGCAACCTCTAGCACAGGATTGTTCATATCACAAAGAAAATATGTCTTGGACTTGCTCAAGGAAACTGGAAAATTAGCAGCCAAACCTGCAGATACTCCAATGGAGTACAACAATAAATCTGAAGGAGATCCCTCTTTGTTACCAAATCCTCAACAATTCCAAAGATTGGTGGGAAAATTGATATACCTTACCATTACTAGGCCTGAAATCTCATACACCGTGAGCTACATCAGCCAATTTCTACATGCTCCCACTGTGGGTCATATGAATATAATTGACAGACTCCTCAGATACTTGAAGTCATGTCCAGGAAAAGGGATATGGATGAAGAAAAATGGTCACATCAACTTAGTTGGTTATGCAGATGCCGATTGGGCAGGAAATCCGATGGACCGAAGATCAACTTCAGGTTTATGCACCTTTATAGGTGGGAATCTTGTCACTTGGAAAAGTAAGAAACAAAGTGTTGTTGCAAGATCTAGTGTTGAGGCAGAATACAGAGCTATGGCTTCAACAACTAGTGAAATAATTTGGCTGCGAGGACTCATACAAGACCTGACTAATGAAGCACCAAAAACTCCTACGGTACTACATTGTGACAATCAGGCTGCTATCCACATTGCTTCAAACCCGGTATTTCATGAAAGAACCAAACACATTAAAGTAGATTGCCACTTTGTAAGAGAAAAAGTTCAAAAAGGGATCATTTGTACTCCTTACACTCGCAGTGAAGACCAACTTGCTGATATATTCACCAAAACTTTGTTAAAGCACACCTTTCAAAACATAGCTGCCAAGTTGAATCTAGTTGACATTTTTGCTCCAACTTGGAGGGGGAGTGTTGAAAGTAGAGAAAATTGTGGAGAAAAATATGGGAATACAGTAGATAAGGCTTATCTTAATTTAATAGATAATAAGGATTGGGCTTATTGTAAATTTATATTCAAATTACTGTTGTTACTTATCTCATTGTATCAACTTTTATTTAAAGCCAATGGAACCTCCCTGATAAAAACATAGAAAGCAGGGGGAGATATTCAGAGGAGTAGGTCAGATTTGACTGAACCTCTTTAAGACTCTGTGTCAAAATTGTGCTTCATTTATTTGCCCTTTTATTTTAATATGGTATCAACGCCTCGCCGCCCCCCACTTTCTCTTGTGGCGTTTCTTAGCACAGGTAGGCTGAGCCTGTTGCATTGTCCACTCTTCAAGCCCAATGGGCTCTCGTGTGAGGGAGCGTGTTGAGATTTATAGTCCCACATTGGTTGTATGTGCAACTAATGTGGAGTTTTATAAGGTCTTGGGCACTCCCACCTTTTGAGCTAGCTTTTGGGGTGGTGTATCCCAAGGTTCTTTACAGTCTCCGCCGTGAAACGCCGCGTGGATTCTGGAAGAACGGACGTTGACAACGACAGTGCTGTTGGTGGATGGGAGAAGGAGAACCCTGTCGGAACGTGGCTACCCATTTATAAATGATTTTTTTTTTTAATTTTTAGTTAATAAAAAACAATGTGTCCAAGCGTGTCCCAGCATTGACCACGTGTCTGAAAAAGTTGACTGCGTGTCGGAAAAACGTGTTGAAGAGTTGACCGCGTGTCCCCAAATGTCGAACGCGTGTCGGAACGTGTCCGTGTCGGACAGTGTCGGACACGCAAATTTTTAAAAAATGCACGAGTCCGTGCTTCAGAGGTCCTAACAATGTAAGCACCAGAGCATATCGTTTATTCAGATTATACTTAAAATCAAAACGTACGCTCATGTATAGAAATTTATTTTTTAGAATTAATGTATTGGAGTGTCATATCTCGTGTTTTGTGTCAATGTCATGTCAGTGCAATATAGCTAGTGATAACTTATTTTCATTGACTAAAGAAATTCTTTACTCTTATGTGACATTTGGTAGATGAGAAATTTTTTTTTATCCAGAAATTACAATTTTTAGGAATATGATCGAAAAATGAGTTTTCTGGGAATCTTATCAAAAAGTTATTTGGTAGAGTAGAGTATTATAAGAAATATTGAATTAATTTTTTTAAGACTATGTTTGGTTGTATTAAATTTTTCTTTGCCACATAAATCCTAGAATCTCACATGATATTCCTGGATGGTATTTTCAAAAAACAATTACAAACAAAATAAAATTCTGAAAAAATCAGATTCCCTAAATTTTTTTAAAAATCTTGTAGCAAACTTGATAAATAAAATTACTATTTACAATTTCCCGAAAATCCTCAAAAAAAGCTTGTACCCTAATATATTTTACACAATTTTGATCTATTTATACTAAAGTGTAGCCAACCTAGGTCATATATACTCCTGTCACAACTCCATTTTTGTCCATTAACCGCTTCGACAAAACGATGTCGTAATCCCTGATTCCTTCTTCAAACCATTTTAGGGTTTTGTCTTGCAGCCCCAAACTAAAAATGGCATTTCTTGGGACCCGGATCCAAACGACAACACGGTTCAACCTTTCACCCGGACACAAGTTCCTTCGGATGTCGATGGCACAGGGCAAATCCAAGAGACCCAGTTGCCCATCTTGTTCCAAACCCTTACGAACATGTCTCTGCTCTCGAATCCTTAACCCGGGCATCGATAATTCGGTGAATGTAACCATTCTACAGCACGCGCTAGAGTTTAAGCACCCGCTTAATTCTACTAGAATCGCTAGACTTGGCCTCAAGAATCTCTGCGTTGCAACTGTTTCTGATGTTAATTTTGAAGCTCGGTTCGTGATTCGGTTAATAGATCCGAATTCCGAATCGGATTCGGTTGGAAATGTGCCAAATGGTTTGTTCTCTCATCAGTCTTGGGAAATTGGTGAGACCCAGAAGTTAGTTTCTGAGAAAGGTTCTAACTTGATTGATAGTGCTGGAAAATGTGGTTTGCAAAATGATATTGGAGATATTCAAAGTCCTCCTGTTCCTGCTGAAGTTGTGAACCGAGTAAGTATCATTGATGGCGTAGTGGTGAATGATGAAGTTGAGAAAAATCTAATTCATTCAAATTGTGATCTAACTAGAGTTGTCCATGAAAAGAATAGAGGGCCTGCTATTACTGTTGCCATTGGCAAATATGGTGCTATTAGCTCTCTGTCTCATATTTGGATGCAACAATGTCAATCCCCCATGTTCAGTTTTAACGAGATTTTGGCTTATCCTGAAGCTTGTGAAGCACTCTCAAAAGGGTTTTTGGTGAAGAAGTTGCAAAGGAAGCAATTGGACAGGGGCATTAACTTGGAAGAATATGAAGAATTTGAGCTTAAGGTTCCTCCTGGATCAGCACTACTATTTCCTTCTGATAAGGCTGTTAATATTAGCGACCTAGATGCTATTGGGTTTGAGGTGAAGAACTTGATTGTTCTGGATGGAACATGGGCTAAGGCAAAAAGAGTTTATAGTGAAAACCCTTGGTTGAACTTTTTGCCGCATTTGAAATTAGAAGTGAACGGGATGAGCTTATACAGTGATGTGAGGCATCAGCCTAAGGCTGGTTATTTGTCAACCATTGAGAGCATTGTATTAGCCTTGAAAGCAGTTGGGGAGAATCACGAGGGCTTGGATAATCTCCTGGATACTTTTGAGTCCATGGTTGGAGATCAAAGACGCTGTAAAGATGAGAGACTGAGTAAACTCTTTCCCAGTTGAGGCCCTTTCTTCTTTTGATTGAACAACTTGAAACAAGTTGCTTGAATCCAAAGAAAATATTTGGAGTAAATTATGAATCATGAAACTTCTTAGTGTTTTTGGTCCCTGTATCCTTTCTCTGCATGCAACACATGAATTCCACTGGATTATCTGCATGTAATATGTAGTTATGTACGGAGAAATTATACTCTCAATGGTTTAATTGGAAGTATACAGATTATTGCTATGCCACATCTGCTACATACGGGTAGGAGCAGACTTAAATAAAATGATTAGTTACTGATCGAACTATGCTATTATTAAGAGGGTGGGAGCTGTATCAATGTTTTGGCACAATGCGTGAGATATATAATGAGGTATAAATGTTGGGAGATAGAGGGCAAGTTACACATATCCCAAATAGATCCTAGTACAATGGTAGAACCAACTTGTAAGTATTCCCTCTTCCATTTGGAAAATATGGAACATACTTGTCTGCAAGATGTTCTTGAGTAAAAGGAAGAGCACGGTGGGGAATTTGTTATGGGAAATTCTCTCCAGGAAAACATCGAGCTGTGAAGTATTGATGACATGCGAGGCTATCCGGGTCCATGAAAGACTAGTGTTAGATACTTAGATTGTTAACTTTGGGTAAAGAATACAGTAGGAGGATGGAATAGAAAATTCCTTCCTTAGAGAACTAACTAGAGGAGTCAATATCTGAGAACTAACCAGATATTGGGCAACAGAAGTTGTATTCCAATTAGGAGTTGTAGTATTATCATAATCCAGAAACTTCAGCCGCAAGGCAGGCACAGGCCCAAGTGTCTTCCAGAGTAACATTGTGGATGATAGGATGGTTATCAAGTGAACTATAGATGCAAAACCATACTGATTGCATTCCACCTGTGATGGAGAGACGGGAATTTTGGTGCAGACCTCTTACAATGGTAGCGGTACAGAATGAAAAATCAGTCTTTACTGAATGCTGTTCCCCAAGAACTACGACCTTCTCTGTACTAGAGTATGTAACTATAACTGTAACTGGTACTGGTACTGGTGCACCTAGAGCAGTCATTTGTTAGTTGTATGTTGATGGCTGTTTTAAGATGCTATTAGATGTTAATTGTGTTGGCAATTCCCATTTTGTTACATATTTTTTATTTAAGTAAAATGCTAGTGTTATCTCCTTAAAATAATAGTATATTTTGATGGCAAGATATTTTCAAATAATAGGGGACAAATATATTTCTCTCCTTTACCCTCTTGAAACTTTCACCACATACAAATTTGTGTTACCGGAACGGGGTTCGTCTTTAACATCTTTATTAAATCGCTTTATGATGGTTTATGATGGTATAGATGTAATTGGATTCTTTGTGAAAAGATAGGTAAATATTATGTTTTATGCAGATGCATCCAACAGATGACAGATCCACATTCCACTCCACTGGCAAAAATTTAGCATAACCGCAAAAGGTTTTGATAATTACACTGTTCCTACACTTGTAATATGTTTTTTGCTCTCTTTTTTTTTTTTTTTTACCTTTCAAGACATCGATCAATTTAATTCTGGTCAAGCCCCACTATGTGATGTTATTTCATGATTGAAAGGTCATGAGTTCGAATTCAAGAAATAATTTCTTTGTAATTATACAAGAATAAGGCTGCATATATAGATTAACTCCACCTCACACTCGTTCGGATTTAACGGGAGTGGTTTGGCACACCTGGTTGGGACGATTCTAAATTTTTCCCTACAAATGACGGGCTATTAATTCTTTTGTAATAAATTAATAAAAATTTTGTACCAAAAGAAATAATAATCAAATTTATATGTACCTTTGCAGTTAATCGAAGAACGCGTTAAAAGAAGCAAGAACTAGCCTCGTTCCACGAAGGTGAAGCGAGGAGAGTTTCGGTGAAAATTCGTGCAGGGTTACCTTTTTTTCTTTTTTCTTTTTGGGTTACACAAAAGTTTTCTCTACCAGTGATAATACTTGTTGTTAATTTACAATCTCAAATGTACAATGGCCATCAAGATTCCAAATTTACTAACCCATTCTAAGCTATGGAGAATTGTGGGTATTTTGTCAAGTGTAGTTGCACTTGTCTGTTATGCTCTGAGCTCATCTTTTAATTATCTATTCGGAAAATGGAATGTTTTAAAGATGGTTCTGTATGTTGTGGTGAGTTGCAGTGTCTGTGGCGTGATGTTGTTTGCTACAAGATGGCAAGTTTCAAGAAACACCTTGATGAAAGCTCATGTAGTGTTTTTGGCTTTGATCATCACCTCTTTATACTCATTTTTCTACGATAAAGCTGTGAATGGAAAACCAGATATTCTTAGCCTCATTTCAAGTGGGGCTTTCGCTTTGATGTCACTTAGCTTCTCTAGACAAACTGACCTTGGATTCGAAGTGGGTGTGTGTAATTTCTTTCTTGGGTGCCTTACTGTGCAACTAACGAAGATCAACTTGATGCTCGCTTTTGTGGCAGCGTTTTTCTGTTATTCCATCATTGTTCTTCGTTCCTATTCTGATTTCCAGCTAGAGAAACGCAATGTTGTCCAAGACCATGTAACCGTGGAAATTGTTACTTGTGCAAATGGAGTAGAAACACCATCTCACCATGAGAATGGAATGGATGGCGACAACTCTAGCTCATCCACTAATTCTTATGGTAATTATTTGTCTGTTTTCCTACAAAAATTTTTTTGTCTTATTCACTGGGGGTTTATGTGTTTGCCGTGTATATCTTGTAACCAGTGAAGTTTAGCATCAAGTCATTCAGGATACCAGAGCTTTATATCGAGATTCCTGAAACAAATACGGTTCATTCACTTAAGGTATTAGTATAGCAGTAGCTTTAGCCTTATTATTATTATAAAGAAAAATATTAATGTTTGAATATTGGCATTAGCTGTCTTCTCCACGATCCTTTTAAGAATTTTTGTAGAGGACAGTCATGGAGGCAGTTACATCTATACTCGAAGGGGGAGTGTGTGTTTGTTGAGATATATAGTCTCACATTGATTGAATGAGCAACTAATATGGCCTTTATAAAGTCTTGTGCACTCTCATCCTTTGAGCTAGCTTTTGGGGTGGTGTATGGTTCTTTACATAGTATCAGAGTCTCACCGTCCCCCCGCTTTAAAGTGGAATTAAAAAAAAAAAAGCACAAAAAGTAAACCAAAAATGGGCCTGTGCAATTTCCACTCTTCTAGCCTAAAGGGCTCTTGCGTGAGGGGGCGTGTTGAGATATATAGTCCCACATTGATTGGATGGGCAACTAATATGGCCTTTATAAGACCTTGGGCACTCTCACCCTCTGAGCTAGCTTTTGGGGTGGTGTATGGTTCTTTACATAGTATCAGAGCCTCACCGTCCCCCCGCTTTAAAGTGGAATTAAAAAAAAAAAGGCAAAAAAAGTAAACCAAAAATGGGCCTGTGCAATTTCCACCCTTCTAGCCTAAAGGGCTCTTGCGTGAGGGGGCGTGTTGAGATATATAGTCTCACATTGATTAGATGGACAACTAATATGGCCTTTATAAGACCTTGGACACTCCCACCCTTTGAGCTAGCTTTTGAGGTGGTGTATCTCAAGGGGAAAGAAGTGAGAGATGATGCCATGACTCTTGTGCAGACTGGTATATCTTGTAAAGAAAATTTGGATGACCTCTGTTTTATATTGGAACCTAGTACTTTACAGGCACCTCCAGCTTTATATGTTGGTGATCCTCCTCAATGTGAGACATCCCAAGCTGATATACAAAGACCCAGTTTGTGGTAATAGTCATATTTAAGAGCATCTAATTTTTCTTTTCATCAATTAAATCTGGTTGAATTTCTCTTCGATTCTATTTTATGTATAGTTTTTCACTATACAAAATTATCATTTGATTTTTTTAGGTTCCCAAGTACACCTTCCTCTGATTCAGGGGTTATTGATGACCCAAGTGGCTCCTCCTCACTAAGAAGAGATGATACAAACAGTCTTGTTGAAAGTGGCACCGAACCAATTTCCTTCAACACTGACATTATAGAAGCATTAGATGACAATCACAGAGTTGGAGGCTCTGAGCTTGTACACCGTCGAAACAAGGGGCAGCTATTTTCTCTTCCTGAGACAGAAACACTTGTTATGGCAGTTGAGAAGCTTGGCACAGATAGGTTATTTTTTTATTTTTTATTTTTTAAAAAAAATTTCCTTAGCAGCTTGAGCAGGGTTTAGACAGGTGAATGAACTATGCTGCTGCTAAATCCATGTTTACTTCATGCAGGTGGCATGATGTTGAGTTACTTGCTACTGAGAATGCAAACAAGAGGACCTATGTAGACTGGGAGGTACATGTTGCCCTTTCGTTTGTTATATTATACATATGAAGTTTTCTTTAATAAGAGGGGTTAGTTAATAATTAGAAAGATATTGTAGAAAAGGCATTGGATTTTCTCGTGGTTATTTTGGCTGTTTTATGGCTTTCCAGTTTCCATTGTAAACTTGGCCTATGACTATTCTAGTTGAATGCATGCTTCCTGTTAATTTAAAGAGAATCTTCTTGACAATTCAGAGTTTCTCATTTGGTACATAGGATATCGTAATCAGTTTGCATAGTCCAGATTTATTCCTATTTTGGGTTATGAATATAATATTTTGTAAGGTTAGGGTAACCTAAAATATGTTGAAAGTATCATTCATAAAGTCCTTCACTTTAGTTGCATTACTAGGTATAGTTTACAAAGAAGAAAGTTATATTTGCACTGAATGATATCTTCTTTCAAAATCAAGAGAGGTATTGCAGTTTGTAATGTTAGTACTGCTACTAGACCTGACCTACATGTATACACAGGATAAATGGAAGACATTAGTGCAGACAGCTAGATTCTCTCCTCAGGCCTCAGGAAAGGAGGGGAGAACCTGTTCCCCAAGAGCTCTTGGACAGAATCTTGTCTGCCGATGCATACTGGTCTCATCATCAAGCCAAGAGACATGGCAAGCATCAAGCTAGAACTTTGAACATTACAGAAACTTCAGCTGAAAGAGTCATTGATGATAATATAACAGCTGGGGGGCTAGGGATAGGGCATCTGCCCACAATCGTGGAAGTTCTTAATGCAATTAATGGGGAGGAGAATGATCAGAAGTTATGTTGAGTGAATAAAAAAATGTTACATATGCGGGAGGAATTGAATGAAAGGGAGTATCCCTTCGAGAAATCCTTATCTAATTATCTATTCCATGCAGAAACAAAATTTAGAAGATTAAGGAAGGAGAAAGATTTTACAAGCTGGAATTCACGAGATTTACGAGATACTGATATCTGTTATTCGAACTTAGTTTGTCCAGACATCTTAAAATAGCTATGATGGCATACATGCATACATGTAATTGGATTCTCAAACCTGATTCATGTGTTGGTTCAAACTGGGTCTAATCAGTGTTTAGTAGTTCAAGACAGAATAGGCAGACCCAGAAGTTTTAACTAAATGCTTATTTACCACTTTGCGGTTTTTACAGATTTATTCATAGATTGGTGGTTTACATTCTATCTTATCCCCTTCAACCTGTTATCAGACTATCAGCAAACAATGATTTCAGATTGAAGGCATTTTGTTAATTAGACCATTGTGCATCCTAGTAGAATCATCATGACTTTAATCATTGCATGGCTTTGGAATCAAATCTAAACGCCAGTCAAGAATATAAACTAAACATATTTGTCACCCGTTACTAAGCAAACGAGTTTTAGTTTTCCTATATAGAAACCAATCTTCAGACAATACAACCAATATTGTGAATTGTAAATAGATAACAAGCCATAAACTCCATTTCCAGACTATTCCAAGTCCTAAGTATTTAAATACAAGTACAACCAGCAGTTATGTACTGAAATACCTCAGACTACTGACTCTGCTGACAGCCTGACACAAGCCCAGCATACTCAAGCTGCTAATAATCTTATATACTAATCTTTGGAATTGTCTCATTTTCTACATATATCAAACTATTGCTAATCCACCCAGTTAACGAATGACAGCAGCAGAACTAGGGCTTTTAGGGTGTCATAAGCATACTCCTGAGTTCGTGTCTCTTTTGATCAACACATCCTGAACTGGCCAAAGAGGTTATCCATATATCATCAGCTATCACCGACTCATCATCATCATTCCTGTGCCAACTCCAGAAGGCATGAGTGGAATTTACAATCTTCAGCTCACCATGACCAAAACTGGCTTCGCGGAATTCTGACCACTTTGGCTGTGGGTTTATATACCTGTCAACAAACAATGATGTAAGGATACATCCACAACAATGAAAAAACAAATCTTGGGCCGCAAGCTTGCTGACTAACAACCTCAATATAGATTTTTTCACATAAACGATTCAGTGAACAGATTTCTATGGAATGTATCTGGCAGTGATAACTTACTTATGAGCTAAGCCTTCTCTGTTTCCTCCATCACCAACAGTTATATGGACAGCACCACAGGGATCCAATCTTCCATTAAACACACGTTTCTGTCAATCAGACAAAGTACCACTTAGGACCCAGTTTCCATTAAATCATGCCCATAAAGAAAATAAATACCAAACCATAAAGGCATACCGAACGTTCATAAGCATGAACATGACCAGCAAGAACTAAATCAACACTAGCCGCATAAAGCAATGGCTCCATAGCTGCCATCATATCATCCCCTGCACCTTGATGAGCCTTGTTACTATTATACCATGGCGCATGAAATAACACAAGCAGCCAAGGTGTCCTTTCCCTGTCCACTTTTGAAAGATCTGCCTGTAGATGAGGAGTGAGGAAAAATTAAAGAGAGGAAAATAGTTGGCAGGGAGAAATTCGTGGCCATCACGAGGAAAGACTTTGTCCAATGGCATGACCACTGACAGATATATCAAATGGGGATCCTTTTAAATGTCCCTGGTGATCACGAGCTAAATATTTCAAGATTGCCAGAGATCTAATTTAATCTTCCCTTTTAGTGGATCTGAAATGTGTTTTTTATAATAATGGAAATGATTTTGAGCTTTAACCATTTTGCTGTGTACTTTTCTTCGTAAAATGATAAATTGTAGAGTAAAGAAGACAAATAATACTAATAATAATGTGCCAAAAGAATGACAGAAGAAGACTTCCATTTATATTATCTAGTCCAACCACTTATAGCAGGCCATGGATTCTATCCATTTCACTTATCCCAGTATAGTTACTGTTGATCAGTTGGGGCAATCAACTCACCTTTAGCCATGTGTATTGTTCTGAGTATTCATCATAATCTGCATAGGAGCCAAGCATGATAACATGAACACCTGCAACTTCAAAAGAATAATAGAGATTTGAAGGTGATCCACTTTCCTCAAATGGCATTTTCCACCTGGAATTATAGGCTACAAACCCATTCTTTAACAATGGTATGTTCTCCTTTTCATGGTTTCCCTCTGTTACCATCCAAGGCCTTGTACTAGCAAGTGGCTCCACTAGCTTACCAAATGCGTCCCATAGATGTTGCATACAATCAGCATATGAAAGGTCTCCTGGAAGCAGGTACACATCATGTTTACATTGGTCAATATGAGCTAATGTTGATTCAGTCCAACCAGTTTGACCAAGATCCCCGGCCACAGCAAAAGTAATTGGAAATTGAGCTGGAGGTGTTTTGAGCTGGAACTCAGGACCTTGTCCACCACATCGGTAAAAGTACACAGTGTTATCTTCCAAAGGCCCAATTACAGTATGGTGTATCTTTCCTGAGCTATATAACAGATAATTATAAGAGGTGCACTCTCCTTCAGCTACTGAGTCATATCTCCCAGGTAATGCTCCATATTCTACAAATGAAGGTGAATGTTTATCATCAGTTATCCAGGTAACTCTCATGTGCTTGTCTCCTGCCAAAGAAATGTGTACCTGGAATAGACATGGATAAAGTGACTGCTTAATAAAGGAAGCATGGTTCCCAGTTTACAGAATAGTTGTCCTAGAATTGGCAAATAATTCACCTAAAGCAAAGCCAAATGTTTAATAAGCAGTTAAACAACAGTCCTTGTCTGTGTACATGTATTATAAATAATATATGTCATTTGAAGATTTGTGACATAAAGCCCACTATGTAAGACAAGACATGAAACAAGCACTATACTCTCAATACACTAGTGTCAGAAAATTAGTGGATGAAGTTTGAATACCGTCACCAGAGAAAACCTTACAGTTTTATATCTTGAACCAAGAGATATAGTACCCGCAGTCACTCTTACACCATTTTCAGAAGGTGAAAATAGCTACCACAATATACTCTCAAACTCTTATCGAAATGGCTACCGGAACCAAAAGCAAATAAGTGATTACAATTACAAACTGCAGCTAATTATGGGTAACAGAAACTCCTTGATTGTCTCAAGACAGATAATGCTAACCCTTCAAATGGTTCTCTATTTGATGCTTGTAAGTCACTAAACAAAAACCCCTGACCCATGATAGTTCAACATATCATATGTACAAAGAATTCAATTCTGCTGCAAATTGAATGGTTATAAATCAGTGAGCACAATCTGCTCGGATCTGTCTTTATGAAGGTAATTAATTACCTGTGGGAAGGGCTTTGTATGTAAACTCTGAACTCTAATTCTTTCTATTACTAAAGAAATCAAATACTGTAAGATTATCAAGTAATAAATAGCACAAAACTGAATTTCCCAGGGAAAAAAGAAGAAGAAGAAGCCATATATGAATATGATGGAATGAAAGAGAGTTAGACCTGGTTGGGGTAAGAGGAGTGGGACTTTGAGATTGAATCCAATGGGATGTGTAAGGTTTTACGAGGAAGAGGGCGAACATATTCTGCCGTGACAGTTGCAAGAACAACCGTTAGAATCAGAATTAGTTTGAGTTCCATAACCATTTGATACCTGCGGCTTCGAAGTCCACTGGAACAGTAACTGCTGGAACAGCACGACAACAATGTCCTTCCACTTTAACCTTTCTTTCTATCATCAACCTCCTACTCAAATCATCCAAATGATGTCACCAAATTTGTCCTTTGCGTGACTAACAATTTTTTTTTGTCTTATAAATAAAAACGAAGACCAAAATCAATGTATTATTTCTATTAAAAAAAAAATTAACATATTATATGCCCAGCCAAAAAAAATAAAATCGATGAAATTATTTAAATAATTTGGCAAGACAATTTAATTGTGTTATGTTATTGATTTTACTTTGACATACATTGATTTTTTTTATAAGCAAAATATTTTTTTTTTAATTATTGTTTAAAAGTCAAACGATTTATATAAATGCTTTTAGACAATAGTATAAAAATAAGGGAAATACTATTCTTCTGTCACAGCAGAGTGAATAGTATTTCCTGCTGAGACATTAAAGATTGGATTCTTTTTCTTTTTCTTTTTTTTTTTAAAAAAAATAATGGGACCTACTGATATTTGAGTGTGTAGGAAAATTAAACTTATCTACTGTCACATAAGAAAACTAAACCCCTAAAAATAATGTTATTGTAATAACATTATTTCCTAATTAATGATACAAATATTTAGTAAGATAATAATGAAATTTACAACATTTATTAATTTATAACTAATTAAACGTCGGGACCCTGATTCATAAACAACACATAATCTAATATAATGATATATTTAACAAATATTATTTAAAATTAGAACATATATTAGATTTATCAATTTTATTTTAATCCTATTAATAAAAATAATAGAGTTACTCTAGATGAATCGCAAGGCTTTCATACATATATAATAAACATAGGAAAAATATACTCTTATATTGTAGGAGATTTTTTTTTCTTATACATATATCGATTTTTGTGTCATTTTTTTTATAAGTGAATCCCACATATAATTGTCTTTATAATATGAGAGAATTTCTCTTTTATTGCATGAGATTAATAAAATGAGTTTGTTTTTTCTAAAGTTATTTTAGATAACTTTATCTAATGTTCATTGAAACGACGTCGTTTTAAGGCGGAAATCATGGTGTATTTATAATTTTAATTTATTTCAGAGTTATAATAATCTTTATCATTCTAATTTTTTAATTTTTCAATCCCAAAACGACGTCGTTTCGATGAACATTAGATAAAGTTATGTAAAGTAACATTAGATACATTTTTTCCTAATAAAATAAGTAAACAAAATATAAAGTTTCCCATGCGAACATTGTGTCGAACTTATTAAAGATAATAGACTCTCAATCATGCACAAAGAATAGAAAAAATAAAATAAAAAAATCTTAAGTGCATTAATTATATTATAAACTACAATTTGGGTTAGTTGCAATCCAATCAACACGAACAGATAAAATTATACAAAACCAGGGGAGGCTAGGTTGAGTTTGCTCAACACGAACAGATAAAATTATACAAATCCAATCTTGAGTTTGCTCTAACTTAAAAGATTCATTTTTTGTGGCAACTTGGTTGCGGTCTTTTAATTTTTTTTTAAAAAATTGTAGTAAAAGCATTGTTTTAGTTAAGACACTTTTTTTTCTTTCTTTCTTTCTTTATTACCTTAAATTACCATTTATGTCTATGGAACCCGGCAACAGTACATTTTTTCGGTCTTTGAAATGTTGTTAAAAATTAATATTTTTGATAAAAAGTTACCTAAATGAATTTCATGAAGTTATGAGGTTAATAGGTAAAGAAAATACTGATATTATGCAAGATAAAAAAGTTAATCTTCGCTCCCCCTCCCCTGCAATTCTGGCTCAACCACTGCCTATAAGTAAGTGTTATATAGATAGTTGGAGAGTATTTCTGTGTGTGTGTGTGATATTTTGTGCCATAACTATTGTGCGCAAGAGCTCACATCAGTCATGTGGGTGATGATTATGGTCTTGTGAGGAAAGTTAAGGGAATATGATGGTGGATTGGGCTCCAAATTGGGCTCATGACACTCATTCAGAGTATTATAAAAGAATAAACACTGGGTGAAGCAACAGTGTAATGAGACAAGTAAAAGAATAATTAAAGAAATGCAGGTAATTAAATACAAGGAGTAAAAGGCAAAAACAAATTAAGAAATTAAGATGAAGCACTGAATTAATCTCGAAGTAAAAGCACTGAATTAAGTAAATTTGCAAAATAAAAGGAAACGTAACTTGAGGGAACTCGTCCTCCTTCCAGCAGTTTCTAGTTATAAGTCTAACTGGAACTATTATCCTAATTAATAACATGACACTTTATCCATAAACAACTTCCCAGACAGTGGCATTATAACAGCTATCCATTTCTAAGCTGGTGTGATCGGTACTGGCTTCGAGTCTTTGACGGCACTTTTATGTACTCAAGTCTTTATCGATCTGTTGACAGTCGAGCTCCGACCCTTTCCACAATCTTGTTGATAAATTCATATTCGTACCTACAAAAATACACGTCCTTTTAATTCATTCATGCACAGTTTTCCCTTCCTTTCTATTAATCAGAATTTATTTCATCAACATAATAAAACTAAGTCTGGCTAATTAATCTTCACAAAAAACAGATTGCAACACAAAACTGGAATTAATAATCAAGTAAGAGGTATATATGAAGTAGTTAATGATCACATATTATTAAAGACTAGAATTAGTAGACATTAATTATGCAACTTCATCAGGTAAAAGTAATTGAAAGCATACTACACAGTACGTACTCATTCTCTTCGATTTGCATTCCTTCGTTCGAGTTGGCGGCATCAGACAAAGCTGTCCTCCATTTCTGCACCTTCTCAGGTTCATTTCGAAACATATTGTCATGTTCCGTCATGGCTTTGCCATAACTTTTTTCTGGATTGCATAAATCAGACTTTTCAATTTTGTAAAATATCGGTAAGACCTTCTGGTTCTTCGACTTCATACACTCAATGATCATGACAAGTTCATCAAGACACCAAGAGGAATATGCATAGTTTTCAGAGAAAACAATAACTGAGAGCCTTGATTGTGCAATTGCTTTCATAAGAGTTGGTGAAAGTTCATCCCCACCCCTCAATCCATCATCATCCATGAAGGTTTTGAATCTGCCTTGGCACAAGGCATTATAGAGAAAGCAAGCCTGTAAAGGAATAGCGGGTATCTATCCCAGTAAAACTGAGAAAAACATCGGTAGACAAGAAATCCACAATCCTTTGGACGAATTCATGTTCCTTCCTATAAAAGCACAAATCCTTTTAATGCAATAAGTCTAGTATTTGTGAGCACAACCTTTGGTTTTATTTCTATTGACCACAATTATTACTTCAATACAGTAAAGTTAAGCTTCTTACACCAAATCTTAACCGTTGATTTCCGTACATCTAACGATTGAGATTTATTGAGAATTAAAAATTGATTAATGAGTGAGACCTAATAAATCTTAACCGTTAGATGCAAAAAATTAATGATTAAGATTTGGTGTAAGACTTATTATTCTTACACCAGTGTAAGATAATCTTGTTCCTATATATATATATATATATATATATATATATATATATATAACTACATTGAAACTAGAAACAAAACCTTTACGACATATACTATTGAATTATGAAGATCTGATTGATTAACAGAATCACCTTTTGAATCACGTACGAGGTATAAATGATAAGCATGAGACTTGGGGTTTAACATTTCAATAGATATTGAAAAAGGAGGTATAAATTAAATAATTAAAAGTCACAGTTGTTGAATTTTGTAAGCTAAAAGTAATTAAAATTTGAAAGCATAAATGCACCAATTTCGTAATCAAAGCCCTTCAAGTCATATTTTTAAATCCTAATACTAGTAAAATAACATCAGTTGTGGAACTTAGCCAAGAAGAGTAATTGAAAGTATACTATATATGTACCCGATTTCAAAATGCCATCCACTTATGTCGGTGACTTCAGTCAAAGCTGACCTACATTCCTTCACCTTCTCTGCTCCGAACCTATTTTCATGTGCTTCCATGGCTCTGGCATACGTACCTGTCTGATGCCTTACATCGGATGGATATACTCCATAAAAGATGGGCAAAACCAGTTGGTCTTTCCTCTTCCTGCAGTCAAGGATCTGGACAAGTTCATCAAGACACCACGAGGAAGATGCGTAGTCTTTGGAGAGAACAACAATTGAAATCCTTGATTCTTCCAATGCTTCTTTAAGAGAGTGTGAGATTTGGTCGCCAATGTTCAATTCACCGTCATCCATCGATACCTTTAAAACTGACAAAAACATCGTAGGACCAGTGGGCGGGGGGGAGCTTCATGATCGCCATGATTTCTTGGATAAATTTATATTCGTACCTATAAAAGTACAAGGCCTTTTAATACATTCATAAACAATTTTCAGAATTTATTTCATCAAAGTAATAAAATTAAACTTGACTACTTAATCTTCACAAAAATATACGTAGTTACCCAAAATACAAAACAACATCCCAACTGGAAACAAAACCTCAACAACCACACACATACACATATACTAACCCATATCTCATTATCTCTGATAACCTTCCTCACTAACTAAGTTACATTTAAAACAAAAAATACAAGAATGGATTTTTGTTTGACGGTTCACAGATTTTTAAGAAAGACATATATATTAAGATATAGATAGTAAAATTCTTAACAACTAGTGTTAATAAAATAGACATTAATTACGGAAACTTTGCAGAAAGTAATTAAAAAAAATATTATGGTACCTGGTTTTCAAGAACCGTCCTTTGAGGTTGGCCACTTGTTTCAGAGCTGACCTCCATTCCTCCACTTTCTTCGAGCCCTCTCCCAACCTATATTCATGTGCTTTCATGGCTTTGCAATAACTACTTTTCTGATGCCTTACCACTGTCGGTTCCACTTGGTAAAAGATCGGCCAGACCAATTGGTTTTTCTTCTTCCTAGAGTCAAGGATCCTGACAAGTTGATCAAGACTTAAGGAGGAATATGCATAGTTTTCAGATAAAACAATGATTAAAAACTTTGATCCTTCAATTGCTTTGATAATGGATGGTGTAATTTGGTCCCCATCCTTCAATCCCTCATCATTCATGAAGGTTTTGAATCCCTCCTTGTCCAAAGCATTATGAAGAAAACCTGTAAAGGAGTAGCGAGTATCTTTTCCAATAAAACTGAGAAAAACATCGTAGCTGGGCAGCCTTTCGGTGAGGATTTCCACAATCTTTTGGATAACTTCATATTCCTGCTGTTGCCTACAAAAGTATAAGGCCTTTTAATTCATTCATCCACAGTTCTTAATTTCTTTCTATTAATCAGAATTACTACAACATAATCAAATTAAGATTGAGTAATCAATCTGCACAAAGACAGGTTGTGACACAAAATACAAAAGAAACTCAAAACAAAACTTTTTTTTTTAATAAACTACGACTATCATCCACGAGAGGTGAGTCCTCTTTAAACCGAGAACATCCACTTCATGTGGGAATAGCTTTCCCAATCAAAACCAAGCCTTTACAACACATACAAGATCACTTGCCTTGCCTCCACAACATTCCTGGTTAACAAGATCACTCATTTTTTGAAACGATAATTAGGAGATGGGAGATGGGCCTTACCAGTTGACAGACATTCAAGGAGCTAGGAGGTATACATAGTCACATTTGTTAAGAGATATAATAAAGCCTTAGTTTCGGGTGAATTGTTGCGTGACAAATGTATTGGAGCATTTGACTAAGCGATCTCGAGCTTAATTTTTAGAGTCCAATTTTCAAATAAAAAGTTGAATTTAAGCCCAATATAACCAAAATTAAAGAAAGCATGGTGTAGCAATAGCATCTCACATGCCCAAGTATTAGTAATTCTAGAATATTCTACACAAGTTGTTAGGATGTTGTGTAACAATCCTTTGAGGGTATATGTAGGCATGAATTGGATAATGAAAGCAAGCAAGAATTGTCAAGTAATTTCCCTCTCTCCTATTCTCTCTTTCTATCGTCTGGAATCATCATTTCTTCTATTATTCTCTCGGTAATCTCTTCTTCTCTTGCTACTGTTCTCTTCATTTCTAGACCTAGCAAAAGGTTACGTTACAATGGTGCTTTCATCGATGAATTCGCCCTCCCCATGTCCTCCTCAGCATATCTCGTATGTTCAGTCACACCTTCCACAACCGATTTTGGGTTTGCAATCTAACATCCAAATCCGCCAAACTTCCATCAAACCAAATGTTGACGACGTCAGAGCTAGCATCCTAGCTTCTCTTGATCGACATATGACAGACTTCACATCTAAGTTGAATCACATGGCTAACCAGCTTCGAGAGTTTCACGAACAACAACGTCAACACCGTTTGCAATATCGTTGCAAGTGGCACTTGTTGGACAAGACAACCAAAGTCGTTGAAACAAAAATAGCATCAGAATTTGCACTGGAATTGGAATTGGAATCCGAATCGGAATCGGAATCGGAATCAGATCCTGACTTCCACATCTCAGATGTCGCGAATCACTCTCGTCTCTTGCAGGTTACTGCATTGGAACCCCCCTTGTACGGTGCTATTGCGCCAAGCACTGAGATCTTCGATGTTAATGGACAATCATGGTCACCGCTTCAGGTTTGGTTTGATCTACCACTACGGCCTCTCCACTTATTTTCATCGAATTTCATCGGTGTGTGTGCCCACAATCAACGAACAGAGCTGCCAGTTGAAGCAAAGATTCCATACTCTATCTTCTTCCTTGCGGGGAACGATTCATTAATTCCACTCTTGATTAGACGAGGCAATTCCGATTTTCCTTATGTCAATAATACTCTTTTTGAGTTCTACGTTAAACTGGGTTTTACTGCTTTTGCACGCCAACTGTTTGATTCCGGTGGAGGCGCAAATTATGATGCAATAGATTGGGCTCAAGGACTCTATGATATTCTCCCATCAAATTCTTTGACCATCTCAACTACAATACAACTACAAGGTTTGTTGGAGGGAGTCTATAATAGCCCAACTTAATTAATTAGTAAATCTAGTGTAATTAATTAATTAAACATGTTTTAGTGAGTGAAATTAAGTATAAGGCTTAATTAAATGAATCTGAGTCACTTTGGAGTTAAAAAGTGTACTCAGTGAAAATTAAGGGGTATAAATGGGTACTGGCGAAAGTGCCCAAAATATAAAAATAAAAATAGTAATATTCCTAGAATAATATTCCAGACTTTTGGGTAAAGTTTGGTAATTATTGGAGTTGAATAGATAGATGAACCAATACCCGCTTAAAGCCACTTAACCAATGTTAAGTGATAAAACACCAAAAAGAACCCCCATTTCCCCATAAACCCGTCGAACCAGAAGAGAAGAAGGGAGAAGAAAGGGAGGAAGAGAGAGAGAGAGGAAACCTTAACCGATTTGAGTGATTCAAAAGCCTAAATCGCTTAGAATCTCCTCCTCTTTCATAATCCTTGCTTTGTTTTGAGTGGGGAGCATTGTGAAGAGGGATATTGCCTCTCAAAAATTCGGCCATTGGAGAGATTTTGGGGTTTTGGTGGCTTCTACCTCCATGGGAGCTTGAGGAGCACTCACATCGTTGTTGTGCAACCATTGGTGGTAAGATTTAAACCCTTGAACCTTATTTTCATGGAAAATTTCATGAGTAGGGTTTTGTGAATAGTAAAGTGGGAAATTTAGAAATGGTGAGTAGATTGACTATGTTCTAGGAAGATTTAAGCTTAGAGCATGTTGTGAAAAATGCTAGGAACGACATTTAATCGGTGGAAATGAGCCTAGATAGTCATTTGATAATTGTTCATAATATTGGAAAATTCATGCTTGGATTGGTTAGTATTCTAGCATGTTGAACAATTAGTCAGTTGAATGATTGATTGTGTCCTTGTGATGTCTAGGACTGAGACATTTGGACCAACCGTGAGTGATCAACCATTGGAGTAAGCTATGGAGCTTGAATAGCTCATTGGAATTGGTAAGCTCATCCTTGTGTTGTGGTATGAAGAGGTATATATCAAGTAATTAATAATCACATATTATTAAAGACTAGAATTAGTAGACATGAACTATGCAACTTCATCAAGCTAAAAGTAATTGGAAGCATATTATTACAGTACGTACTCATTCTCTTTGATATGCTCTCCTCCTTCCAGGTTGGCGACATCAGACAAAGCTGACCTCCATTTCTGTACCTTCTTAGAGTCATTTCCATACATATTGCCATGCTCCGCCATGGCGTCGCCGTAACTTTTTTCTTGATTGCATACGTCAGACTTTTCAACTTTGTAAAATATCGGTAAAACCAGTTGTTTCTTCAAGTTCTTACGCTCAATGATAATGACAAGTTCATCAAGACACCAAGAAGAATATGCATAGTTTTCGGAGAAAACAATAATTGAGAGCCTTGATTGTTTAATTGTTCTGATAAGAGTTTCTGAAATTTCATCCCCACCCTTCAATCCCTCATCATCCATGAAGGTTTTAAATTCCTCCTGGCGCAAGGCATTATAGAGAAAGCCTGTAAAGGAGTAGCGGGTATCTTCCCCACTAAAACTGAGAAAAACATCGATAAACAAGAATTCGACAGCAAATCCCACAGCACTTTGGATGAGTTGATTTTGGGACCTATTAAAGCACAAACCCTTTTAATTAATTCAGTAATTCTAGTCTTTGTGAGCACAATATAGTGAAGCTTGACTAATCTATCAGCTCAAAAATATATTGTGACATCAAATATATATATATAACTGCATTGAAACTAGAAACAAAACCTTTGCAACATACACTACTGAATTATGAAGCTCTGATTAACAGAGTCACCTTTTGAAACACGTGCGAGGTATAAATGATAAGCACGAGACTTGGGGTTTAACAGTTCAACAAATATTGAAAAAGGAGGTATGAATTAACTAATTAAAAGTCACAGATGTTGAACTTTGTAAGCTAAAAGTAATTGAAATTTGAAAGCATAAATGCACCAGTTTCCTAATCAAAGCCCTTCAAGTCATATTTTTAACAACTAATACTAGTAAAATAATTTCAGTTATGGAACTTAGCAAAGAGTAACTGAAAGTATATACTATATATGTACCCGGTATTGAACTCCAATCCTTTTAAGCTGGCGACTTTAGACAAAGCTGACCTCCATTTCTGCACCTTCTCGGAGTTCTCTCCGAACCTAATTTTATGTGCTTCCATGGCTTTGCCATACATATTTCTCTGATTCTTTACATCGGACGAAACTACTTCGTAAAAGATGGGCCAAACCTGTTGGTCCTTCCTCTTTCTACAATCAAGCATCTGGACAAGTCTATCAAGACACCACGTGGAATGTGCATAGTCCTGGGAGAGAACAACAATTGAAATCCTTGATTCTTCCAATGCTTCTTTATAATCAGTGTGTGAAATTGAGTCGCCAGTAGTCTTGAATTCACCGTCATCCATGAGCGCCTTTATTCCCCAGTCCCGCAAAACATAATTTAGATTATTCATGCCGCTTCCGCGGTTATCCTTACCGCTAAAACTGACATAAATATCGCAGGACGTGTGGGCGGGGAGAAGCTTCATGATCGCCATGATTTCTTGGATAAATTTATATTCGTACCTATAAAAGCACAAGGCCTTTTAATACATTCATACACAATTTTCAGAATTTATTTCATCAAAATAATAAAATTAAATTTGACTACTTAATCTTCACAAAAATATATATATGTAGTTACCCAAAATACAAAACAACATCCAAACTGGAAACAAAACCTCAACAACCACACGCACACACGGAGAGAGAGAGAGAGTAACCCATATCTCTGATAACCTTACACCTTTTGTTGATGGGAGCCAAGGGAATGATCATAGTGTTTTGTAAGCTAAGTTCCATGATTTGTAAAGAATATGTAATGTAAATGATGCCTACTTGAAATTCAATATATGCATGCTTGTTATGTATTGAGTTGCTGAATTGGTTGGGCTGAAAATCAATTAGGTACCCTTTGTTTAAATTGGTAACGATGAGAAAACAAAGGTCATGCTGCCCAATTTCTAGCTAAATCTCATGAGGAGAGGTTGGATGAGGGCTAGGATTTAGTGTTGAGGCATGGACAATTGGGGTTTGTAATGGGGATGCATCTTCCCCTAGGCTTGGACTTGAAAAATGTGGGAATTGGAATTCCCTGGCAGCGCGTTTAAGCGCCCAGGAGCGCGCCCAAGCGCCCTGCTGCCCCTGCGAGTGCCAATGCATTCTGCCTCCTCGCGCTGGAGCGCCCAAGTGGGGGCTTAAGCGCCCAGGATTGCGCGCTGGAGCGCCCTGGCTCGCGCTTAAGCGCCCTTTGCTGCAGAAAGTTGGGATGCTTACTGTCCCCTCGTGTTTTAGCGCCCAGGGTGGGGCTGAAGCGCCCAGGGTTGCGCGCTTGAGCGCCCTGGTCCGCGCTTGAGCGCCCTTAGCCACTGAAGGAGGAGATGCTTCTGTCTCTGCGCGCTAAAACGTCCCAATGGGAGCTTAAGCGCCCAGGATAGCGCGCTTGAGCGCCCTGATGCGCGCTTAAGCGCCCATCTACACTGAAATACCTGATGCTTCCTGCCTCTGTGCGCTTAAGCGCCCAGATGGAGGCTTTAGCGCCCGATAGCGCGCGCTTGAGCGCCCGGTAGCGCGCGCTTGAGCGCCCGGTAGCGCGCGCTTGAGCGCCCGGTAGCGCGCTGAAGCGCGCGGGGCCTGTGACCAACACTCTCTGGTGTTGCTTCTAATTGTCATAACTTGGGCTACAGTGCTCCGATTGGAGCGCGGTTTGAAGCCACGAGTAGCTAATGAAGAAACCTACAATATAGTAGAAGTTGTGAAATAAATAAGAAGTAAATTAATGGTTTAAAAATGGAAAGTGAACATGATGTTAAGCTTAATTTATCTGTTTCCGCAAGGTAATATGGTTATGATCACGAAATTGGGTATTATAAGTTCGGTATGTTTTAAAATGAAAAATTTATCCGGATTTTAATTGAACCCATGTGATTGTAACTGCGCTTAATATCATAATGCGATGTTAACAAACCGATTCTAGAACGGGGTGTTACAGAGTCTGCCACTCATTTCCAATGAACATCCATTTTATTGTTTCAGTGAAGTTTTGTCTTTCATATATCCTATTCCGACCTTCACTTTCACAATTCAATGTTATGTCTAAATGTGCAACTGGAATATTCTTGGTATTGCGTTTCAGAGGTAGTCTCACAGTGAAAACTCTTCAAATGATTTTGGATTATAGTCGCTTGGTTATCTCCATGTTTAAAAACTTGATAGGAAGTGAGCTTTTGACTCGAAGATTATATAAAGAGGTTTACAAGGTCATTGGTCTGGTTGGAAAAAACGATGATGTGCTTCTCACAGGTGAAAATTCAACACCTTATAATGATCAATTTTACTCTCAGAAATGGTTCTTCAAGGTCTCTATTCGGGCACTTGGTGCTGCAATATATGCCCATCATGCAACTCTAATCTTGATTTTCTGGAACCCAGAGACTGAGGCATTGCTATACAAGAAAAGAGAAAATGATATATTGGCACGAGCATGCACAATCATGAAAGAAGTATATGTTTATGACATTATAGTGGGAGAAAACGATAAGATTGAAAATGTAGCTCGTTCATATGGTGACTCTGTTATTGTAACTACTAAGTTGGGTGATATAGTTCATTTTGACAGTACTTCTCGATCAATCAATTATGGATTGCTTTTTTGGGGTATGGTAGCAGAGGCAGCAATGCTTGGCCAGCATATCAGCATGTTATTCTCTGGTATTGTTGGGTTCAAGTTAACTGGAAAATGCTGCAGAAGTGTGACAATTGACTTGTTTTTAACTATGACCAAAGTGCTCAAGAAACATGGTGCTATTGGAAAATTTGTTGCATTTCATTATGATGGTAAGGGTAAATCTTGTGATGTACCCCGCGATTGCTTGCAGAATTTTCAAGGGTGCCAATCTCTAGGCCTAGGAACGGGGTCTACATTGGGTACCCTATTGAATTTGAAAACCAGGGGAGAATGCATAGATCAAGTGATGACCAGGGGAGAACACAAGGTGACAAAGGATGCTAGATTTATAGGTGGATTCACTTTAAGTTCTTTGGTTGAAGCTAGAGGATTTGGAATCATTTCTCTACTTTCTCCACCATTAATATTTTGTATTTTTATCTTTGATCCTGGTATTGTTATAACTCAACCTCGAGGACGAGGTTGGTTTGAAGGGCGATGGAATGTAGCAATAGCATCTCACATGCCCAAGTATTAGTAATTCTAGAATATTCTACACAAGTTGTTAGGATGTTGTGTAACAATCCTTTGAGGGTATATGTAGGCATGAATTGGATAATGAAAGCAAGCAAGAATTGTCAAGTAATTTCCCTCTCTCCTATTCTCTCTTTCTATCCTCTGGAATCATCATTTCTTCTATTATTCTCTCGGTAATCTTTTCTTCTCTTGCTACTGTTCTCTTCATTTCTAGACCTAGCAAAAGGTTACGTTACACATGGGCATTATCCAAACCATAAAAAAGCATACAATAATTATGGAACTTGGTGGGCTAAAAGTATTACATGCACGTACCCAATTTTCAACTGCCATCCAGTTAAGTTGGCGACTTCAGACAAAGATGTCCTCCATTCCTGCACTTTCATATAGTCTTTGTTGATCATATCTTCATGTGCTACCATGGCTTGGCCATAGCTACCTCTCTCATATCTTACATCGGATGGATCTACTCCGTAAAAGATCGGCCAAACCTGCTGGCCCATGCGCTTCTTACAGTCAATGATCTTGACAAGTTCATCAAGACACCGCATGGAATATGCATAGTCTTTGGAGAGAACAACAATCGAAACCCTTGATTCTTCCAATGCTTTGACACGCCTGAGTAGCTCATCACTATCGTCTTCGTCATCGTCATCATCATCTACGGGGAATGTCTTGATTCCCTTGTCGCGCAAAGTATGGTAGAGATTAGCTGTGAAGCTCAGGCGGGTATCGTTGCTATAACTGAGAAACACGTCGTAGGGGGTTGCAATGGCGCCTTCATTCGTCATCATGTTCCTAATGATGTGATAACCAAGTCTAGAGTACACGCAGAGTGCTAACACTAAAAGAAAAGGGATTTGACAAATAATTAGGTAGGAGGGTGAAGATGAGGTTCTACCATATACAGTACTCACCCAAGTTGAAAATAAAATAACACTGATGACAATGCATGGTGTTGTCCCCTTCTTCTCCATTGTACTATTTTCTTGTCATCTTCTAAGTTCTAAGCATCCCTCACATGCACCTCCCTCACACCGCCGTTCCCACTTCGGACAAGAAAATTAATTGATAATATCACTCTTATCAAATAACCTGTTTCCTATAAATCATTTAAATAATAATGAGTGTTAATTTTTTATATTAACTTAAGGTGTTTGACAATTCCAAAACCAGTAGAACGTAACATCCGATAGAACTAATTAGCTAAGCACATATAAAAATAAAAATAAAACGAATTAAAATTTAATTTGATTCAAACTACTTTGAAACTAACTCTATATAAATTTTATTTGAATTAAAATTAATTTGATTATAACCTTTGAAATACAAATAAGTATGTTTAACTAAACAATTAAGTTTATAATTACGACAAAATATTATTATTCACATACATCAGAATATAAATAACAAATTAAATGAAACACAAAATAATTAATTTATAAATACAAAAGAAAAAATTTGTCAAATATTCATAATTAAATTATTTGTCGAATAGATTTTGAAAACAAACAACAATTGTCATTTAAGTATATATATTGTTCGGTCCGGGAAAGACCGTATTGTTATACCGTATGGTATGCGCTCAGAGATATTCTATGAATAGGTATCTTCGTTGGCTTATAGCCAATATCTCCATCATTGTGCATAAGCAATAGACTTATTATAGTCAAGATGTGGGTGTGTGCACATTGTGGATGGGATCTTTAACCTCTTATTTATAACGGTTACCTCTTGGGCTTGTGTAAATCTCTCAGTTGTAGTAAGATTCAATTTCCTTTCTGTTGGGATAGAGACTCTATCCTTAATAGCCTTACTGTTTCATATTGTTAGAATAATTGAGTAATTATCCTTCAAAGGATCCTTGAATAAGTGGTTAGGATATGAAAATATTTCATAATATATATTATGGGATAAATAAGAATAATGTTGTAGGAAAAAAACTGGTGTCATGCAACCACTTGAGACAACACAAAATCCTTGAAAAGAGTGCATCTTTCACTTTCTTTATTATTATCTAGTTTGTCTTTTCTTTGTAGAAAAAAAAAAAGTTATTCATGTAACATGACAAAACTAAAGCCCATATATTATATATATCATAATAGGTTTTGTGAACATGGTACTAACAAAAAAAAATATTTTTCTGTTTTTCATCATTCTTGCTTGACCTGCATCTGCATGTGTAAAATTATAAAGAATGTGGATATGTGGTAAAAGAAAATGATTTCTTAGGCGGGACCTACGCGGTTTTGCTGGTAGACTGCTCCTTCCTTCTCATGAGTCACCGTGACATATACTGTAAATAATATGTCAAATGGTGGCACAATGGTCGATGTCTCAACTTATCCGTTATTCTCTTTACTAATTTTATTTTCCAACTGAGAAATTTCCTTCCGTAAAACACGCCGCTGTTAGCGTTCTCAATACGGAGAAGAAATTATATACATACATGGTTTATATTTTGCAGCTGCCGGATACGCAGCATGTAACATTTTCGTTTCGAGCTGGTTCAATTAATATACATATGATACAAATAAAAACAGCAGAGGATTTAACTTACGAAAATAAGAGCTAAGTTTTTTTTCTTTTTCTTTAATCCTTTTTCACATGACATATCACATTGCATACTTCTTCTACCTTAATTCTTATTTGACGGAGACGAAAATCGGACAGAGTAACCTCTGTAAATCGGGCAACTGGAGATTTGCAAATCCCACTCTCAAGGTACCTGATAAACAATTTATACAATATATACTTTCAGACATACCAGATATCCATATAGGATCATATACTCATCCATGGGCGCATGCATAACTTGGCTCCGTGCCACTATGTCTAACAATATGCAATTCAACACATAAACATAAACTGAATACTACATCATCATATCAACATGCCTGAATACTCAAATGTACATGCATCCAACTGAAAGACATGTACAAAACATATACAGGCCATATCCAAAATAAAAGATCAGACATCATGATCACCAAATGAATAGAACACTATACAACAGTACATGTTTTCCAAAAATCACATCTATAATAAATAGTAACCTCCGGCTACCCAAAACTCCATATCCTCATACTAGTACCTCTAGCCACGGGTAGTGTCCTTGTCCCATTAGGGCTCTTCAATTAACTGTGTTCCTAAAATTATATCCCCAAACGAGGTTAGAGAAGAATCTCTAGTAAGCTCCAGGTTTATAGAGAACTCTCCATACCCTGGGCTCACTTCCTGCAAGACAGTCAGATACATAATATACAAAACATCATATATCATACTATACTGAACATCTCGTATAACATATCATATAATCAAATATCATAACTAAACAAAGTATATACACAAAACTTATCAGAGACGTACACAGTCATTCCCAAGGGATGACCCCAAGCGAAAATCAACGCACGTAACAAATATCATATACAAAAATCATCACAATAATCACATCAGAACAAAGCATATCATATCAGAGATGTACGTAGTCATTCCCAAGGGATGACCCCAAGCAGAAATCAACGTACATGTTCCCAAGGGAGGACCCCAAGCGGAACCAAAAACACATCAGAGATGTACACTATCAGTCCTGAGGGATGACCCCAAGCAGACTTCAGTGCACATAGGATCAATGGCCAAATATCATCACAGAACAGAGTGTACACGATCAATCCCAAGGGAGGACCCCAAGCGAAAATCAGTGCACATGTTCCCAAGGGATGACCCCAAGCGGAACTCAACATGTAACAGATATATACACAGTCAGTCCCAAGGGAGGACTCCAAGCGGACATCAGTGCATAAACAAATCAATGTCCAGAAATCATTACAGAAATCATATCGAAACATATCAAAGTAAACACATCAAAAGATATCAAAGTAAACACATCAAAACATATCAAATCACATCATCATATAGCTTTATATGAATGCATCTATATCATATATCTCATACATATCATGCAACCTGACCACAGTCCGTACACTATGGCAGAACACAAAGTAGGAGCGAACCCCATAAACATAGAGCTTACCTCTCAAAGTTGTATAGATGGCCTACCCAACAACCGAGTTACCAAGCCTTCTCTGATGTAGGATCCTCAACAAGACTCTTAGGCGCACCTAGAATAGGGAATCCATACAAATATCAATAAAATGGTTCAAAGCCAAGTAGTTAACCAGACATACCATTTATTGATTTCATCTTTTACTTATCAAATATTTCTTAACTATTCATACATACGGTATTGTTCATCTCTACGGTACTATTCATGTATACGTCACTATTCACATATACGGTACTATTCATATACGTCACTATTCAAAAATACGGTATCTCAATTTTTCCAAATACATTTTCACCGTTAAAATCTTCATCTGAACACTTTTCTCAACATGAGCCAAGCCTCAATTAAGCTCTAACATGCTCAATCAAACCAAACTTTCAAAATGAAAACTTAAATTCAATCTTCCTCAAAACTCAAAGAAAACCAGGATTCCTCAATATAAACTTACCTAGAACGAAGGGGAAGGCTTACTTCAAGCTCCATCAAAATCTCCATTATCCATGAAATCCGAAATCTTAGATGAGGAAGATCTCTCTACAGTGAAACTCACCCAGAAATACTAGTACCAATGGATTCCTCTCGAAATTTATCACAAGTTTGGCTTTGGAACGGAGTGATTTGGAGGTCTCTAGCTCAAGTTATGATCCTTGGAAGATTTGATTTCAAACTTCCATTTTCCTTCTCTTTGCCACTGTCGTCCGCGAGGAGAAATAAGAATGAATCGTAAGTTTTTTAGAAATGTCACTTATATAGGTCAAGTTAAATTCAACTGAGTAAAGGTTTATCTAACTACACACCTCTAGTCATTACTAAACTTTACCCATGGACTAGAATATTTTTCTTATCATATTTTTAACTTTACTTTCACTTTTCGGGTAACTTTGTTTACCCGCATTTTTATCCCTTAATTGTCATTTTAACTTCTTTTTCACTAAAGGTGACTTTATTTCTTTTACTTCTAATTATTTTTCAACATTAAATCCACAACTACTAGTGAGGGCTTTTATACAGCAATTAAATACTTGTCATGTATATACTTGAAAGAATTAAATACGAAAAACTATAATCATACAAAAGATGAAAGTATTAAATGTGAGGAATCATAACATACACCTGTCGTTGATGTACGTAAAGCGGCTGCAGAAATAATTTTACCTATATATATATATAGGGATTTACATTTCTGTAGCTGCTGTACTTGCAGCAATCAAATATTTGCCATATATATATTTTATACTTGAAAGCATTAAATGCGGGAAATCATAACCATACAAAGGATGAGAACATTAAATGTGGGGAATTATAACCATACACTTGTCGTTGCTGTACGTAAAGCGGCTGGAGAAATAATTTTATGAGATTGTTTACAAACTACGCTATGTTCTCTCGGGGGGAAAAAAAATCTTATTTTGATATTTGCGATATAAAATAAACCCTTTTTTTTTCCTTCTTTCTCTTCACTTCCTCCCACATCTTTTCTCTCTCCTCCCCTTCCTCTCTTCCTCGGTTTTTTAATATACGTTAATTTTTTTTTTTTGAAATCTTCGTATTTATTTATTAATTATGTTCTTATTTTAAATTTATATATTTAATATGTATTATTTTGATTATATGAATAATATATTATTAAAATAAAACAATTACAAAGTTACCATAAGATATATTAAATAAATGTTATAATATAAGAACATTTTCAAATTTAAAAATATTTTTTAACAAAAACAT